GGGCGGGTTCGGGGCGACCGGGGTGAGTTTGGGGAGAGGTGGGTTGGGGGAGGGGTGGGTTGAGGGAGGGTGGGTTTTTTCTTTGGGGAGGGGTGGGTTGGGGGCGACCGCGGCGCCCCTGCTCGCGCGGGTCCTCTGCTCCGTCAGAAAGCTGCGGTAATACTTGCTGTGCTCCATCAAGAAATGAAATGCAGCCTTGCACCGATCGGTAGGCATACTCGCTTCGCAGACCAGGTCCTTCTTGAAGCACGCGCGCGAGAGACCCACCTTCTTCCAGTTGAACTGGTGCGCAGCGCCATACCTCTCTTGCCGTGCGGAGGTCCTCAAGACGACGATGCTCAGAGCACGACATTCGTCGAGGGTCATCTCGTGCATACAGGGCCCAGTGCTGTGGTCCAGCGAAAACTGCCGAAACGAATATCGAGGCCAGGTGATGCACTCCTTTGCCTCGTAGCCCGACTTCGTCGCCAAGGGGATCCTATACAGCTCCGACGTCTTTGCAACCTTGAGGGCCTGCCCATGGTTCTGCGTACGGCGGTTGAACTTCTCGAGAGGAGTCTCTTTACCAGAACAGCAAGGGCAGCTGGCAACCACAGGCGTGTACATGCCTGGCTTATACCACCATCTCGAAGATATGCCAACTTGGCCACAGGCGCGCGCCACCGGGTCCTGCGGTACTTGCCGACGATACGCCGCCAACATGTCTGGTTGTTCCGACGTGCTACGATCCTGATATACACGGTTCGAGAAATACTCGTCATTGAAGAAGAACGAACCGCAGGCCTCGCAAGCGGACCAACTCCCGTAGCACACCCAAAACGCAAAATCTGTCAGATTATACTGCTTCTTGTAGGTGGCTTGGATACTGGTGAGTAATGACATGGACCAAGACTGTCGCTGAAATACCTCCTGGCACTTTAACATGGCATACGCAGCAATAAGACAAGCGTCCGCCGCCATTTTCGGGAATACTATGCAACCGTCAGCTGTCGCCACGCTGCAAGCTCTCGCATACCAGCCTTGCTCTTGGTCGGAGATACACGCGTGTGCAGTCCTCGGCAGCACCTGGCCCAAAAAGGTCCTCTCGTAGGCCTCCACCACAGGACCTGGCAGCGCGTCCTTGTATACGAAGGCATCTGGATACGCGAGCGCCAACTTGGCATGCCGTTCGTGGCCACCAAAAAATACCGATAGATTGTGCAAAGGCACCAACTCTTCCGCCACGCCCAAGCGCTGACATAAAGATACACGCACAGCCTCCAAACCAGGTCTAGCCCGGGCGCGACAGCCAACCGCCCAGTTGTGGCCGAGCTTGCTATCCAGAGAAACCAAGGAATACAAGAACTCCCACTCCTGTTGCTCTAGGTGCTCGCTGGTCCAGCATTCGCCACGTTGCTCGCGATAGCGACGATGCGCTACGAGCCGCTGCGTGGTCCTGCAATCCACGAGATACTGCGCCAATAACTCCTTTTTCGCCTCCTCGGCCGAGACACCCTTCTGCAGCTGCTCCAGGACATCCCCCCCGCATACGTGGCTGCGTATCTCCTCAGCATTCTCCAGTATTGCCAGCTGCTGGGAGGGCGCCTTCAGCCACCTCTCCAGGGCGACCCAATGTGCAAATACCCCGGTCTCCGCGCGATACTTGTCCACCAGCGCTCGCCCCCTCAAGCCTTCTACGTGATGCCAGTACTGGAGGTCCCTGCGCGACAACGCGTAGACGGCGCAATTGCCATGTTTGGCACCGTCCCCGAGTCGATACTTGCAAAGCCACTCTCGCAAGGCATATGGACCCGCCTCATACCCCCAGGCCTTCAGACGCACCTGCATATTCTGGTAAGTGAGGCCAAGGCCCAAGTCGGAGACCTGCTCTCGATACCGCTTGCCGCATGCCGCCTCTACAGCATCCCCCGTCAGCAGCTTTATACAAACCACTTCTGTGGAGGAAGAAGCTGCCGTGGCCTGCTGCTTCGATACGGGCTCCTCCCAGTCGACCGCGGCAGGCCGTTTGGCCACGCGGGCAGATCCGGCGGCGGCTGGCCGTTTCAATACCCCGCCTGCGACCTGCGCCGCCGGGCGCTTCAATACACGCCTGGCGACGGCCTGGGCGGATGAAGCCGTCGCCTGCACTGAAGAGCTCACCGACGCATACGCATCGCACCACTGTCTCAACACTCCTCGGGACACCAAGACAGCTTTCCGTCGCATACGCAACACGGCATGCAAGGTGTGGTACTTCAGCCCTGGATATACCGCGCGCATGTGGTCACCAAGTGCCGCGTCGAGCTTTTCAGCCGTGTCATACTGCAAAGGTCCAGAGTCAGGGTGATACTTCACGTACCATTGCCTCAAAACCATACCGCTGACAGCGACGGGAGGGTCGCTCTCCGAGAGAAGCTGCGAGAGGACCTCCGCGGCGGCCTCATCGGCGAAGCTCTCCCGATACTGATTGAGTCGAAGACGCTGGCCTATACATTCCTCCACAGCTTGGGCAGTATTCAATGCTCCCTTGGCGCCCCACTCCGTGCTGAGCCACTTCTGGCATACCCTGGCGTCAGCAGATACAGATAAATGTCCCAGGAGCCACTGCTTCAACACGGCCCCGTCAGTAGTCCCCTCGGGCATGTCTTTGCGAATACGTTCTCCATACCAGGTCTCCAGATGGCCAGCGTTCTGCACTTTGACAAGCGTCTCTTTGGAAGAATACTGCAGTAGCCACATCTTTGCGACCTGATCTGTCGCATACAGTGGTGGATCCAACTGTCGGAGCGCCCCGCATAATTTGAAAGGTGTATTATACTCGATGCCCAGGTGGCGGATGGCAGAACCGTGCTGCTCCTCCAGCTCCTGGGCGCTAGAAATACTAACCTTGCCAGGCACAACCCGATATTTGCCCCACCAAGTCTTGCACGCCTGGTGACTGACCTGGATACCCTTTGCAACGAGCGCCTGATGCAAATAATACGGGCTCTCGCAGTCGGCCAAGGGAGGCCGCGACAGCTCTGGGCCATACTGGTCGTCAAGGGCTTTCGCCGACAAAGCCATGACCCATCCAAGAACACAGGCGATACCTTGATCCGAGATGGCTACGGATGTGACAGTGATCAGTCGGAGGCTTCCTGGGGCCGCTTGGGGTCCTCTTGGGGAAGGGGGGAAGCCTCCTGGCGCCGCTTGGGGTCCTCTTGAGGGGCTTTGGGGGGCTTCTTGGAAGCATCTTGGGGCCTCTTGGGGGCTTATTGGGTCCTCACGGCGGGCTCTTGGGGCCTCTTGAAGGCCTCCTGGGGCAACCTATGGCGCAACCAGTAGGGGGACGTTTTATTCTCGGCGGCCGAGGGCGCAACCTATGGCGCAACCAATAGGGGAGCGTTTTATTCTCGGCGGCCGAGGGCGCAACCTATGGCGCAACCGCAAGGGATTATGGCCCCTGGCAGGCGCGCGAACCCCGTTGCAAGAGCGTGCGAAAGTAGCTCGCGCGAGCTCATGTAACATAAATGTTGGAAAACCATTGGTTTTTTTAGGATTCGGACAGCGCGCGCGGGTAGAAATTTTGAAAAGTCGTGCAGGTGTTTTTCGAGGACCTACGGTGCGATTCGTGTGATTTTATGATGCGCGGTGCTAAAATTCTTAAGAACCCAATGGTTTTTGGAGATTTCGGCGTGCGCGCGCGAAGAAAAAACGAATGTGTCCCGCATGGTATTATTTGACAGGGATGATGGCCCTGGCAGGTGCGCAACCGTTGTCGCAGAAGTTCGAAAAAGTTGCTCGCAAAAGCCCGTTTGACAGAAATGTTTAAAAAGTGTTGGGTTTCCTACGAATCCGCAAGAGCGCGCGGGATGAGATTTTGACATTTTTTGTTGAAAAACCATTGGTTTTTTGATGTTTTTATGTTAAAATCGCTCCGAACACTAAGCTTTTGGAAGGATTTCGTCTTGCGCGCGCGAATGTCCACTTTACCTTATTTTTTGCAAGGGATTCTTGAAATTTGATTATATTAGAACAAGAAATGTCATTTTATAGTGTTTTTTGCAAGGGAAAACGGATTACAACAAAACAACCGGATCTGGATCACATCGTTTTACCTGAGGCTTCCTCACGAAAATGATGAAAATGTAGCTGCGGCCTAGGCGGCGCAGGGGGGGCGTGCACCAGGGGGCCCAACAATAATTATTCTTTAGAAGTAATAATATTCAACACACTTGCTTTTTTGCGTTGGGGCCACGCGCGCGGCGGCAGGGCGTAGACAGCCGAACATACACACACACACCGCAACACAGGAAGATGTCTTCATCCGACCCTGCAGCGGGATGGCACGCACGGGCTCAGTGAAGCCATGAACCTTCGCGCGCATCGGCGTGCCAAGGCGTGTCATCCTGGGGCGCCACCACCTGGAAACAAAACAACTGGATCGGCGCCATACGAACCCCACCTGTTTTTTCACCCTTCGATCGGTCATCGAAGACGGGCTGGAAAATTTCTGGAGGAGATCCCACGCAATATTCACGGAGGCCTGCGACTGTCCAGTCCATACCCATTTTCGTCATCTTGATGTCAAAGGGACGGTAGATGCACCCAATAGCTGCAAGCTGGTCACTGCAACAATGTACCTGGGGCCTGCTGTCTTATGAGAAACGCAAAACGCTCCGTGCGCGACTTCTGCGGTCAAGACTTTTGACGTAACCCAAGGAGTTGTAGGGGCAGACCGAGCAGGCCAACGCAGGGAGAAAATGCGCCGACATTGAACAGCTCCCGCACACACCATACACACGACCCTGCTGCACTCGACGAGCAAAACAGCCACGCCGCGACAAGACGAGTCTATCGGCGTTAGGCCAGATTCCAATCGCAATCTGTCGGCACGCCCTCTGGTCCGATCCACAATCGCAACGCGAACATTGGCTGCGCTTTGAATCTGGGCAAGGTCTATCCGGACGGTCGGCCCAAGAGACCGCCTCCTGGTCGGGAGGATCAGCCACCCGCGGACCCGAGGAGTCAGAGGGCCAGGCCAGTCCGGGCACAGCTCGGACATGGGAACGAGGACAAAGTCTCGCTCGTGCATCAAAGCGTGGGGAACCTCCAATGGGTACTTGCCGGAGGTCACGTTAAGCTGAACGTTGCCAACGGCGACGACGTCTACGTCGACAACTCGTGGGCCTCTCCGCACCTCAGCACGATGCCAAGAAAGAGGACAATTAACACATGGTAGCGAACACATCTGGCCGACAAGTGCGTTGCACACTAACGTTCAAGCACGCCGATTGCTGCCCTCGTCTCACAAGAAGAAACAGCACGAACCATGACATCCGATCTGAATGCCTGGAAGACGGACAGGGGCGAGCCCCTGGGGTCGACCCAGATCCTGGCTCAACGCCGAGAGCCTAGACTCGCAGCCCCATCCCGGGCCCCTATGCAGAGTCAAGAGACCGTCCAATACAATCCATAGCAGAGGAGGGGAGCGGGAGGGGCGGCGCAGCATAACAGGGGGTCCAGCAAGTTTGCCATGAATAAGGGCGAGTGGGCAAGTACCCCCCTTGACGTCCCGCGGTCTCAGCGGGTCCCAGGGTGGCTCGTAAGGCAAGAGCCTGTCCCACCAATATGCTGCCGTCTCGGCTTGTGCAATTCTCTGAAAGGTTGGTCAGGCCTGGAGTGTGGGCCCTTGGGCTCGCACTCGAAACTCAAGGGCCCGGTTTGCTTTGCCGGGTTAGTGACGCTCCGATTCTACCTGGCTGCGCTCAGGGCCGGCAAACCGAAGGCACATGACGCCACTGCTCCGGAACTCACAAAATGCTGCTGCCGAAGGGCATGGGCGGTACCCCGCAGGGGCGGCAGCCCTCCGTTTTGCCCCGCTCCTGCAAGGCGCCGTCCCCCCGAGCCGGCCTGCGGCACAGTCAAGCCACGAACTACGGCATGCAGCGCGAAAGAAGGAACGAGGCCCCTCGTTGCTCCCCGAACCGCCTGGGTGCACGAGGAGCGCTGGCAGCACAACCGTGCAAGAAGCTGAGCAGCAGCGAGCCCCCTTCGAAACCGAACGGCGCATTCTTCCAGCGTCCTGGCCGCACCTCTCCCCGTGGTGCCCTCGACCGAGGGGAGCGGACCAGGGCGCCCGGCTCCCCTGAAAGCCCGCATGCCAGACATCGCCGCCCTGGTTTTTCAATCCGCGGCCCCATGCAAAGGTCCCAGATGCTTCCCCAGGATCGTTTCTCGACCCCGAATCCGTTTTCGGGGGCGGCCAAGAGGGGGGCGTCCAAGAAGGGGGGGTGCAAATCATGGCCGGCGGCAGGTGCGCGGCCCAATGGGGGGCCAGGGACGTAATGAAATGAGAAGAGGCGCCATGAAATCTTGGGAAATATCACGGCCCACGCCATGATATCCCCCCCCCTCTAGTCATCACCCCCCTCTTTGCCTCCCCCGACGTTTTCGCTGACCCCAGGGCCGCATCACGGGCCCCAGAAGCCGCAATCGGAGGAAGATCGCCGGGATTGACAACAATCCTGCCGCTGGAGTTCTGGGCCCTCCACGCCCGATGCTAGAGGCCCCCCAGATGAGGTCCGAGTGGATGGGGTCGGGGGATCCACATCGAGCCACATCGCCGACGCATCGGCGATGCGGCGCGATCCTCCGAACTCGCCTTCCCGACCTCACCCAGGAGCCCTAGAGATGGGCCGCGCTGCCGAGCGCCGCTCCCCGGGCTCGCGGCCCACGTCGCTCTCGATCTGCTTCAGGTCCGCCAGCAGGCCCTGCAGGTCGGCCAGCCTTGCGGCCGAGAGCGACAGCTCCGCCACCGCGTTGAGGAAGGGCGGCTGGTCGCTGACCTCGGGGTGCCCCTGCCCATACCCTCCTCCTCCTCCTCCTCCTCCTCCTCCTCCTCCTCCTCCTCCTCCTCCTCCTCCTCCCTGTCCTCCTCCTCCTCCCTGTCCTCCTCCTCCCTCTCCTCCTCCCTCTCCTCCTCCTCCCTCCTCCTCCCTCCCCCCCCCCACTCCCCGCTCCTCCCTACTCCCTCCTCCCTCCTCCCTCCTCTCTCCTCCCCCTCATCCTTTCTCCCTCCCCCCTCCTGCCTCCTCCCGCAGTCTTTTGCCTGGATGTTCGTAATCCCTGCTAGATGTTTCGATCACATATCATGGTCAGTGGGCTCCGCCAATGACATGGGGAAGAAGGGATAATGCCGTCAAGCATACACTAAAGTAACACTGAAGGGAGGAGGCCGGCCCGCCGGCCGTCGCACGCGCGCGCGCCGCAGGCTCGCTCCTTTTGAGTTTCCCCAGAGCACAGTGGTATAGCTGAGGAAGCAGAAGCACTCAGTACGTCGGGCAGTGCGCGCAAGGCAAAGGGGCAGACAGGGCGAAAGGATGGTGGTGCGGACGGGGTGCATTGACTCCCCCTCCTTACCATGGCCCCCCCCTGCCGACCGTTGACCTCCCAGGCGCTTGCGGCTTCTCTTCCCCGCCTTCCGGCCGAAGGCACAACGGCCTCGGCACTTGGTTGCCTTCCTCCTTTCCCCTCTTCTCCTCTGCGCGCAATGCTTGGCCAAAACGCCCCCCCCCCCCATCCCTCGCTGCGGCTTCGAATCGGCCGCGGGATCCGCGGCGTCGCAGCCAGCCACGGCCCGCGAGGGGAAGCACTTCCGTATCCCATCGTGTCCTGCCCCCACGCCAATGCCTCACCTGGCAGGCACCGCGGTCAGGGAAGAGCTAACGGCTCCTTCTGGCACGCAGAATGCCCAGGCTTTGGACTTCAGCTTCGCCTCTCGCGTCCCGCTGAGCAGCGCCAAAGCCCGCGGCCACTGCTTGCCCTTCTCGCACAAACTGATCGCAGCCTTGTTGCTGTCGACGTTCGGCTCCAGATCCACTTCCCGCAGCGCGATGAGCAGCGTAAGCGCCCGCTGCCAGTGCTCGCCCTTCGGACACGCGCTGATCCCAGCGCTGTCGCTAACTAGAGCATACCGGTGGACTCCGCCCACGAATTCCACAGTGTCCAGCGTGTGTTTGCTGCTGCTAGTTGCTTCGGGTTACTTGCTGATGCTTGCGTGCCTTTTGCTTGCCTGCTACTTGCCTCAGCTTGCTAGTTGCTCTTGCGCTTGCTGTTTGTTGCTGTCGTTCGTTGCCTGTGGGCGGTTGTTGCTTGTTGCTGCTGCTTCCTGGTTCCACTTGCTGAGGTTACGAATGGAACGTGTTGCGGGCTGCCCATGGCTGCAGCTGCTGCTGCCGGCAGGAGGCGCAGTGAGTCCTGCACAATTCCTGGGAGCATTCTGAATCGTCTTGGGGCCTGGGGACTATCGCCCACGCAAACGAACTGGTACAGTCGAGTTTGATTAGTGGATCGACCCTGCCAAATCAAGGGTACCATCGTGTCCTGTGTTCCGCGACCCGTGCCCCCGACATTCCTATGGCAAGGTGGCCCTGGGAAAGGACGTGTGTCCTTTCGCGTGTTCTCCCAGGTCAAACTCGATTGCATGCAAGGGTGAACATGTGGACGAGCGCTGCACTACGCCACACTCGGCGACGTCGCGGCTCGGTCAGTATGGCGCGGAATGGCACAGCCAACACATGTACACGTCGTTCATTTCTAATCGTGCTCATTTCTATTTGTGCTCGTTTCTAGTTGTCCCTGGCCCCCTAGTGGCCAAGACGAGGCCCAGGATAGAACAATTTGGAATGAAAGGATCCTGGCCCCCCAAAGAATCAAAGAACCTTCGAGGCATTAGAAATGAACTATGCGTAAGAGCACAAGCTTCTTCGTCGCACGGACGGCGGACTACAATCTGTGGAGGGTGGTCTCTGTGGGAGGGCCACACGGACAGCCCTGGAGCCCTCGCCCGAAGCCCCGCGGCCCTGGCCCACGACGGCCGCCCAGGGCGACCCCGCAGCCTTCGCGGACGGGGCCTCCCTCCGAGGCCGGGCTTCCCGGACGGCTCCGCAGCCCCTGCCCGAAGCCCCGCGGCCCGTCTCCACGGAGGCCTCCCGGGCGGCCCTGGAGCAGTCGCGCACTAGGCACCGCGGCCCCTTCCGGGGCCTCGCGTCCATGAGGCGGGCGGGTTTCCAGGACGCCCGGCGGCCCCCGCCCCTGCGTCCACAGCCCCGCGGCCCTCGTGGCGGGCAGGGCCACCAAGGGGGTCCAGCAGCCCTCCCCTGAAGCCCCGCGGTCCTTCGTGGAAGCCTTCAGCTCGGGATCCCCCTCCTGGGGGCCTCTCGGACCGCTTTTGGGGTCCTGTGGAGCCGTGTTGGGGACCTCTTGGGCCGATTTCGGAGGCCTCCTTGGGGCGTCGCCCCTCGGGCGGAGCCGCGGAGGCACTGCGGCCAGGGAAGAATTCATGGCGCCTTCTGGCACGCAGAATGTCCAGCAGAGTAATATAGATGACGCTGGGCTTCAGCTTCGCATCCGTCATCTGACTCAGCACCGACAGTGCATGTTGCCAGTGCTGGCCTTCTTTTGCATGCGCTGCCGGCCGCAACGTAGCGGCATTGGGCGAGTTGCACACCTGACTGGATCCCCTCGCAGAGCAACTGCAAATGCTGAGCTCCATGGTCTTGTCCGACCACACCTCTTGATTGCAACCTCGAAGAAAGAAACGGCTTCTAGCACACGACAACATGTGGCATCGCGGCGGCTCGCTCCGCCTCCCAACGCCTCGCTTCGCCGAGTGCCGCGAACAATCGCCCGGAAAGGCAGGAAGAGGGCGCTCCGGAGCTCCGTGGAGTCCCCACAAGTCTCTTGGAGGTCCCCAGGGGCCTCTGGAGACCTCCCGGGGCCAGAAAGGTATCGAAGACAATCAGAAAACTCGATCTGACGGGGGCCCCCAAGGCGACACGCCAGGAGAAGGGCTGACTGACCCCTTCACGCTCCTTGGCCACACGCCACGTCACGCGGTCATTCGTTCGCTTTGTCCTCTTCGCCTTTCCCGGTTTCGGATGACGAGGTGCTTGATGAGCCCAACGAAGGTTAGGCGCGCACTGCTCTGCGGAGAGAGGGCCCTATCCCATTTAGTCATGCACTCGTGCACTACTCCTTCTCCTCCTCCGCCTCCTCCTCCCCCTGCTCTTCGCGTATCTCTCTCTCTCTCTCTCTAATTTCTCTCTTGTTCCCATGCCACCAAGTTGGCCGAGGGCTCGCGGATCTGGGGGTTCGCTTGGTTTCTGCCTCCCCACACACGCGGGAATCTCCTCCCCCACCTTTCCTCTCATCTTCTATGCATCATGCGCCATCATCATTACCACGCGCACTCACGCACCAACAACAGCATCATCAGCATCATCATCATCATCGTCATCAGCATCAGCATCATCATCATCTTCATCATCAGCAGCATCACCATCAGCATCATCATGACCATCAGTATCAGCATCATCACCATCATCATCCTCGTCGTCATCCTCGTCCTCATCCTCATCCTCATCCTCATCCTCATCCTCATCCTCCTCATCATCATCATCATCATCATGACCCTGACTACTCTCTTTCCAGACCACTGCTTGCGGTGAACAGGTGAGCATATTCAAACCAATTCTGCCCCAGCTTTTTGGGGGTGGGCGGGTTCTGGGTGAACCAGAAAGACTGCAGAGCGGAAAACGGATGACGAGGTCAGGTCATTTCCGTGGGGCGCAAACATGACCCTGACTACTCTCTTTCCAGACCACTGCTTGCGGTGAACAGGTGAGCATCTTCAAACCAATTCTGCCCATAAACAGGACCCCCGCATACAGCACTGGAGTGGCGAATTTATTCGACGAAATATTTCAGGTTAGGTATTGCTGCAGGAAAACCCCCCCGAGGCCCCAAGATTAGAAGGGGAAGGACAAGGAGGAGGGAAGAGAAGAGAAGGCTGGCCACAGCTCGTGCACACGCAGGAGGCTGAGGGACGAGGCGATAGCCTTGGATAGCACGAGGCACAGCTTCTCGGGGTAAACCTGCTTCTGGCGTGTCAAGAATCCCCCTTGTCCCGTGGGCCCGTCCAACTGATAATGTGGTTTTCCCGAAAAGCTGCAAGTACCACGGCCCTTACATTTTGCACCTTCCAGAGCCGAACACTTAACGTTGAACAGGTTGAGACGAGTACGAGCTCTCCAAGGCGTGCCGAAAGCGCATAATCAACAATAATGTCGTGCACTCGGGACGTCTCATCATGGCAGGCCGACGGTAGCCAAGCCACAAGTAGCTCTGGGAAGGGTTTTCCTCCCCACACGGCAGGCCTCGCTGGATACACGCTTCTAGCAGAACGCCGGATCGATGAGCCAGCGCGTTACCTTCGGCAACTGTCTGCTGATCACGCACATCAAGATTTGGAAGACCTGCGGGGTATTCAGGACTGCGCAGCCTATGAGGAAGTCGTGACCACTGCGGCGCCCGTCGGGCCATCGTGAACGATTGACATGGGGTGCCTGACCACATTCCCAAGACCAGCCCTGATCGAATCCATCCAAGAAGGGTGTTGAACGCATTATCATTCAGCAGGTCGTGGGACGGCCCGTGGCAGATATCAATGCAAACGACAGCGATATTCCGCTCCGCCAAAGCAGCCGCCAGCCCTCCTGCCCCCGAGAACAAGTCTAGAAAGATCCTCGGGCCGAGGGGCTGCGGCTGCGCAAGAGCTTGGCGCAGCGCTCGACGAAGGGCGCGAGGCCGCGGCCCACCAGCGCCGCGATCTGACCCCTCACCGTCGCGGGGAGCTTGCCGAGCTGCAAGGACACCCGCGCGTGCTTGTCGTAGCGAGCGACGCTCCGAAAGCTGCGCCAGTGCCCCCTATGCTGCACCTCGAGGAGCGACCCCCCGCGCTCGAAAACGAGACGATCGTGGCTGGGCCGCCCCCGGTTGCCGCACG